CCAATACCTTAATTGTTGATTTTAGTTGCTGGTATTTGTTACAACTCAGTACAGTACGGATCTTCTTTTCAAGATTCTTTCCTTCGTCTTACCTGTTCTTTTTATTTTCATAAAATATTTCCTTTTTCTCACTAAGACATATAGTGTAAGTTCAACAAAACAAATCGGTTATTTAAATATTTAATTGTAACACCTACAATGCCAAATATATTCAAAATGTTGATAAGAAAAATGAAATAGTTGCAACAACTAATGGAGCAAATGAGAAATGACTGGAATTTGTTGAAGGATAAATTGGAAATTGATATTATCAAAAAATATGCTAGTTATATGAACATTCTCACAATAAGTATTATAGGTAACCCAACTTGTAATAATATTTTAACATATTTTTACTGATGAGACACAAAATATTGTGGCACATATATTTCGATACTTATTTGAAATAATTAATTTCATATTAGATTTATTATTTCCTAGTGTTTTGTTATATTTCCATATTCTTGTACATAATATTTCAACGTCTGCCATTCATCCTTGACTTCATATTACCAGTGAACGGATCACGACCTTATCAACTTCTCATGATCACGGAATATTTTGTTGATCATGATAAATATATTCAGTTTATATTATTACATGAGTTGTTAGTTGGTTATATAGGATTAACTGCAGTAGGGAGCACTGGTACGACATTTATTATATTTATGTCGCATGTATGTGCATTACTTGAAATCACAAGGTAATATAAAATGTATTTATTATTCCTTGTCGATCACTTGCTTCAATCATAATATGCATTAGTAAATTCATATAGCTATCGAATAGAAAATGCTTTCGAGAGAAATATATTAGCAATGCCTAATCCCAAAAAGCAGTATCTACTTCACCGAAGGATTGCACATGCAGTTGTTATGCATCAGAGAGCTGCTGAGTTAGTATATTTTTATTGTGAAACCTTTTGTAAGGTAATTTAGTTAGGAACTATTTCTTCTTTGTGTTACATTTAATTTTAAGGTTTCTGAATCATAAATGTATGTTTAACATTTAGGTCTTATTAATATTATACATCTTTGCAATAAATGCAGTTTTAAAAGCACAAATTGAACTTTATAATTAACTAATATTCAATAATTAAATTGACATATAGTATTTGCAATTAATTTTGTAATTCGGTCAAATTTAACAACATAATATTTTTGTGAAACATTGTGTACAATATTTTGAAACAGCTTTAAATGTGATGTTTGAATATTCTGTACATTCGTGAAGAACCATAATACTTACAGCTGTATTTATATTTGTATGATTAATGTAATAGTTTCAATATTTAACTTTTCATTTAAGGTTTAATGAATTTCTGAATTCTGCGTTTTTGGTATTATTCTCTCTTCTAATAGCAGTTGGAGTTAGTTCTGTAACTCTCAATCTTTTTCTAGTAAGTAATAGTTTTCTTTATTGTATTTAATTTTGTACTGCTTTTCAAGTAATAAATTTATTTCAGTTCTGCCGACTAATACTATTAAATGATATCGGTAGAGCATCTATAATAGGTCTACTCACATTTGCTTATTTCATATATATGTTTATTGGTAATTACTGGGGACAAGCTGTAATCAATAACGGAATAGATTTATTCAAAGTCACGTGAGTATTTTGTTTTTACTTATTGTTATGTTGTTAATAATCACATTTTAATCCTTACATTTGATTCAAGTACCTTAAAATTAAATTAACCGTTATTGTGTGTTCTATTTCGGTATTAAAAATCTGGCGTTAATTTAGCGCTAATTAGTAAAATTTCTTTAATTGTTTATGAGTTTGCAAATTAAATTTTATGATTATAGATATAATGGGTCATGGTATGCAGCACCATTGTCTAATCAAAAGCTGTTATTATTTATAATGCAAAGAGGGAGGGAACACCTTAGCATATCGTGTTTTAGTGTATTTGTTGCATCCTTGGATGGTTTTGCTACAGTAAATTTAAATTTTTTTTAACAGAAAAGAAAATTGAACTATCATACTAATGTTTATGTAATGTATAGAGTAATATTTATCTTTCAGTTGTCAAGTACAGTAATATCCTACTTCATGGTGATGTATTCTACACGACAATAATAATCCAAAGAGATGTGACCAATAAGTTAGTGAATTTTTTATTCCAAACACTTGACATGCGTTACAATGTAAATGTACAAATAAAGTATTAAGAACAAAAAATATTTTATTCGCGTTTCTGCAATATATAGTAAGTAATGTTAAATGAATAAAGAGGTTTGAAAGAATCACTTGTCATTAATGTCATATCAACTTATTTTTTAAACACAAAAATAGATTTTGATTATTATTTAATATACGGGGTGTTCCGCAGTGTTCTGACCGCCGTTCACGGGACGGTAAAGAGGAATAAACCAACAGAAAAGTCTTCTACGATTTTGCAATTGGAGCAATAGTTATCGAGATATTGATAATCAAAAGTCGCCGTATTAGCCCGAGCTACTGCCAAATGTAAGCGTGCGGTGCGATGTGTCCACCCATCAGCAGTCGCTCGCGGCGGTGCGCGGCGGAACACCCTGTATATGGCGTATAATATTTATTATTTAAAATAATTTTTCTGGTGCATGGCTGCATAGTTGGAGAAAGTAATTCGAATTCTGGCTGAGGTTACATTCTTCGCAAGAAATTCTTTACAGTGTATGTTTCCAAAGGATATTTTAAAAATATCATTAACTTGATTATCAATTTAATTACATGTAGGGTAGAGCGGGGCTAGTTGAGCATAGGGGCAAGTTGGGCAACGCGAATATCTTAGTTAACAAAACACGTGCGAACATGTTTATACGCGCTTAAAGAACCGAGTAGTGCGAGAAGACCTCGCCGTGTTATGCAGTCTGCGTCCGGCCGTCAGCTAACATACAACTGCGACTTATTTGTTTGGAAGGTTAACAGTAAAATTATTAGTTCATCCCAGCTTTTGGTCTACACGGTATATAAAGTTACTATCCAAAGCCAGATAATTTTTTTGACATATGTAATTATATCACTTTTTAACTGTAATGTTAAAGTTCCGGTTTTTGTTATAAAAAATATTTTACTTTTGTATTACATGTGCGCAAAACTGCTTGTGGGCAATCGGTTTGTAGGCAATCGGGAATGTCGGCAACTGAAGCTGTCGGCAAAATGTTGTGGGCAAACGAAGCTGTTGGCAATCGGAAATGTCGGCAAACGGGACCCCCCCCCCCTCCATCAACTTTAACTCTCGAATAACGTGATTGACTTTCAATAAGTGCTCCTTGACCTTGAAAAGCTTTTCTTGACCGTCAAGAGCAGTCTGTAATAAAAACCGTTTTGAACTTGACGATTAGGATTGAATAAATCGATAAAAAAATTTGATGTTGAACTTGAAGATCAAAGAGAACTTTGGTGATGCCTTATATGAAGATTTTTCTAATTATGGCTTAGAAAATCTGACAGAGTAGCGAGCAAACATTTTTATACATTCTGTACAAGCAACGATTACCGATTGGATGTGTGGAATTATATCTAACAAGTAATAATTAAACCATTGTAATCAATTATAGATAAGAATCTTACATTATTATATCCAAGAGGACTGGACGATGATGCAAAGTAAATCAGAAATTGATATTGTGGAGAGACATGTTCATAATAGCCGGAATTATGCAATCTATATATTCTGTAAGAAAATATTATTTTACTAATCCCGTTCTAATATTTATCCAGAATGCACCGTAAAAATAATTTTGTCAATAGTATTATCAAATATAATAATATTTAAATAAAATATCTTTTATTATACAGGGTGTCTGATGCAAGAAGACCCCTACGAAAAATAGTGGTAGATTGAGTCAGACTAAGAAGAGAAGGCGTGTACCAATTTACAAAATTCGCAATAGTTATCGAATAATTTATTGAAACGTCTAAGCAAATAAACGCGTGGAAAGTGATAGGCCGGGCTCGGAAGGCGTGCGAAGGGCGGACGCGAGCTGTAAGGGCAGACGCGAGCGGTAAGGGCGAGCGGTAAACGATACGGCCGTAACTACAATGCTCGCTATTTTTTTCCGGCGCGGAGTTACGTCGCGCGTCGTTCCACCTCTCACTCACCGTTGCTAGGAGATCTGGTATACAAAGCTCCTTGACATGCCTTCCGAGTCCGGCCTACGACTCTCTAAGCGCTCATTCGCTCAGACGTTTCAATAAATTATTCGATTACTATTGCAAATTTTGTAAAATGGCTCATGACTTTTCTTCTTACATTAGTCTAACCCAATCTACCATTATTTTTCGTAGGGATCCTCTTGTGTAAGACACCCTGTATATTTTATTTTTGTTCTATAATATCCATGTACACAAATAATCACAAATCCGTAATGAAGCGCAATAGCTTTTATATTTGTTATTTTTCTTGCTATAGAATTAAAATATATAAATTATAATACATTTAACTACAAAATCTGTTTGCGTTACAGGTACTGTCGGTATTTTAACAGTCGTTTTAATCATTGTGCAATTTTTCCCTGTTATTCTTGACTTTGTTTTGCCATTGGACGATCCTCGGCCACGCAAATCTCTTGTAAAAGTAGAATATCTTATCTATCAAAATAATTCTTTCTATACTGTAGTACTTCATGAAATTATTGTTTCTATATTATATGCCTTAATGACAACTACCACGTCAACACAACTGTTGTTACTCTCATATCATTCTTTTGGGATGTTTAAAATTGCCAGGTAACGATCGATTTTTATTAATCACGAATATCAATCACAAATTAAATTTGGGAATATTTGCAGTCACCGAATGGAACATTCCATCGATGATCACGTATTAATATATGCCAAATTGTGAACGCGCATTTTGCAAGAAGATTATTGATGTTGTAATTACGCACCGTAGAGCTATAGAGTTAGTACATTGTATTTCATTAATTTCTGTAAAATCAACTATTGCTTTTTGTTTTAATGTTATAATCTTTGTTCTTATAAGTACACGGAAAAAACAATATAGTTGTCACAAACAGAATTCTGGTTGTGTCAACCAGATTAAATAGTAAAATATGGAACAACTAATTATCTGGT